ATCAAATTTTGGGGTAAAAAAGTGCGTCTTATACACAGAAAAATACGGTAAGTCATTACAACAATTAAATTTTAGATTTATGACCACCATATATTTGAGTACACTTTTTTTTCCATACTTCTATGCATCAGGATCTGCTAAGAACAGAATTTTATAATTTACTTTTATTTGATGAAATATCCATTGTCATAAGTATTTTTGTACATTAAGATTCAAACATGCAATTCTTACTGGAAAGAAACAGAGTCAAGGTCTGTTATCCAAATATACAATGGATTTCTATTTTTCTAGAATTAATTATTTCACTACTAGTTGAAAATCATCCTTGCTATACTTTGTATTGAGGAGAAATTTTTCAAATATATGAAAAAGCCTTAGCTTAAATTCCTTTCTTCATGGTTATGTTTTGAATCATGTACTGGTGATATAATATCATTAGATATAAAATGTGCTGAGCATATTTTCGTATTGCCTGTAATTTGAAAATTTCTTCCTAGATCTCTCTTAATTTTATGTATCCACAAACTAGTTATTTTCTCACCAACCATTTGACTTTTGTTATGTATCTTTTTACATCTGGGTACATAATGGTGAGCCAATAAGTGTACTGTGGTTAGGACATGATCAGACTTCACCTCAACTCAACTGCACAGTAGATTTTAACTGCAGGTGGAGGGCATACTAGCTGTTTGAGGGGTGACCTGTACTACACAGACAGTGCCAGCACTGCCTTATTTCCCACTGGTGCTGTGCGCAATCAGTTCGAAACTCTGCAACGTCCATTACTCCAGCAGGTAGCAACTGGGAAGTGACAAGGATCTCCTGCACTCACAAGGAGGGGGGGTGGGGGTGGAAGGTGCTCAAATCTCCATCAAATGCCTGCCAGAAAGGTCTATTACTAGAGGCAAAGCAATGGATAAAAACAACAAAAAAACCTGCCACTTCTGTTGATAAACAGGCAGAGCTGAAGGATGACATACCTAGAGTAAACCCTGGAGGAGGAAAGAGCCAGTCAAATCATCGTCACCTTGTTCAAATTGGGAAGAAGGAATGTCAGCCAAATGGACGGGAGGAGAGAGCCCAGTCTGCATGAAGAAACCCCCAACACATTGAATAATGGCTGTCATGTCCCCCACAGACAAGCCCCCAGTAGCCACAACAGACACTATGAAGAACACTGTCACTACTGTGGCACAAAGTGAAAGTTACTGTCACTTGAGAATTTATAATGGGTAAGCAGGAAAAAGTTATGTTATTCAATTATGTCTTTGTTCCTGTAGTAATAAAAGAAACCAGTTAAATCTGAAAGAAATTTATGTATCATAAACTATTACAAATCTCATATAATTGATTAATAAGTTTAAAAACATGCCTGTTCTAAATAATGCCAAGGAAAAGATTGAATGGGGAGTCAATGTGCAAGGAGGTTATGTCAACCTCCTAATAGTGGAAGGCTATTGTTGCACGAAGTCATGCATGTAGTTCACATTAAACATGATATTTTAGGTGGGAGTTAGCTCAAAGCTAGTGAGAAGCAAATTTCTTAGGCAGACCAGGGAGAGATCAAGCTATTCTGTGTGAAGAGGCAAGATATCTCAAAACTGTCCTTTACTACCCATGTTATGTATGTTATAAATTTCTTATACTTTAACATCTACTTGACCTATTTTGCATGTACAAATACTAGCATACCTGAATATTATTCAATCCTGCATATTCATACTCTTTCATACATTTATTTGGGAAAATTACAAAATACTACCAAGACAGCTTGTTATATTATTTACAAGTTTTAATAAAGTGTGCATGACTTTTCTGATTGTTTTCTTAAAATTCTAGACATTATTACAAGAAACTTCTACTGATTAGAGTAAAAGAATTAACTGCTTAAAATTTCTACCATTAGAATTTATTATAAATTTATCAATATAGTACCTTGACATTATCTGATACCATTTCTTCTTCTGTGTACAGGCCTTTCAGAAACCCAGAAGTCTTAATCACCTACAATATATTTAGATAATAATGATTATATTAATAACCATAAACAGTTTCTACTGCAAGTAAAGTTAAGACATGTTTTAAGTTCCACATTGGAGTTGAAATTATCTCAAAATGATAAAAAAATTACAAAAAATATAAAACTAGCCAGAATGGAAAGACTAGGAAATTCAATGACAACACACACAAACACTCATAAAAAAAAATCTATGAAATGAGAAGGAAAGACCAGAATTATAGGGGGGGGGGGAAGAGTTATAGGAGTAGAAAAACAAGAATTTGACATCAGTACTGGCTAAGAGAATCTATCTTTGAAACAAAATGATTACATAATGAACACCAGAACAGCAGTACTTGTAATTGAGGGAGATTGTAAAGGCATTACCTAATGGATACATAATTCAAGTACACTTGTAATCACAGAATAATTAAATTAATGAAAATAAAGAAATACTACAGATTCTGATTAGGCAACTGGTAATTTAATTTATAAATGTATAATACACAACTTTAAAATTGTTGTTCATGTAATATCGAAGAAGCACAAGTTCAAAAATCAGAGAGGAAAGTGTAATCTAATCTGTGCAAATATATATTTATGAATGTCAACATCTTTTCAGAAAGGTTTTTTCCTGCTTTAAACATACACCTGAACTGTAATTCTGATTATTAAGAAGAAGGTATTTCCCTGGGTAATTTATAGATACACATACAGGGCTCAAAATTAGTCATGGTAAACTAGCAAATTGCTGGTTACTGTTGCAGTTTTCCTAGTAAAACTTAGAAAGCACTAGAAAAAACTGTCAGTATACTTTTCAAAAGAAAGATTTGAAGATTCTTACTGTCAAATTTAGTATAAATACACCTATGATACATGTATATGATTCTTTGCGTTGCAAGATTCTTAACACAGAAGGTTACTACAATTGTGATTAACAAGACTGTTTCAAATGCATTGAAATACCATTTCAGCTACACTGTGCACTAAGGCTATTACCTGGAAATATGGATTGTGAGACTGCTGTTTTAACTTGTTGATTGGTTGCCAGGACAATTAGTATTTGGGCCAGCAAGTTACAATCACACTATCTTGCCCCTCGGTGCAGTTTTGTCAACAATATGGTTAGAAATATTGTGCCCATGTGATTTTTTCAATGGAAGTAATAATGAAATAGAAATGAGATAAACTATGGATGTTTGTTTTCAACATTCTTCTTAATTTTTCATGATTAACTTTAATGTTAGGCCTAGTGGCTCCTAACGTGTCACCAGCTTTCAATGATTAAGCCTAATTTTTGGTAATGAAATTAATTTTTTAATATATGGTAACTGTCAGCAGTGGTTTACTGTAGAATTTACCAATCCAGGAACTCATTGTCTAGAGAGAGAGAGAGACCAGTTGCCGCTCAATGATATTTTTATGAAATAGTTAAAATAAGTATTGTTATACGTTATCAAAATGGGTTAGATATTTATAAAGTATTTGACACAGAAAACTTACACATAATAAATAAAATATCTATATTATTTTTAATACATGAAATAATTAGTTATGACACAGTTAAAAGTTGATTTTTGAGAAGAATATTTTTGCTAGTAGCAGTCCTAAATTTTCTAGTGAAAAAAAAAAAAAAATTAACTAGCAATAATTTGCTAGCATCTTCCAAACTTAAGTTTCTATCCTGATATACACAGTATACTCAAACAGGTTCTTAAAATACAGCATAAATGTAAATTTTTTAAAATAGATGACACGCAAGAATGAAAAAGTGGTCCCAAAAAAACAAGACAGATTTTATTCCACTTAAGTGAAACATGTCAAACTTGTATGCCTATATAATAAATAATCAAAATAATGCACATTTTCAGTATACACCACACTATTAGACAAAGTTTTTCAAAACTTAAAAATGTATGTAATTCTACATAATAACAAGTATAGGTATAAGTTTCTAAGGTTATGCTAATTACCTCAAAACAGATATTTATAAATTTTTTATTTAGTAAAAAACACTGAGCTTTCAAGACAAAGAAACTTGTTGGTGGAGTTGACAGTGGTAGATTATAAAAGAATATAAACATTACTGACAATAAATATCTTTGCTGTTTTTATGCTTACATGTACATGAGCAACATAAAAAAAAGATGTTTTGAAATACTTGGGCCATACCAGAATATCAGTGAGAATTGTAATCATATTTTAATCAGTTGTTTAATGGACAATGGGTTAGGATGTGTTTCCTTACATTTGTAAAAATATTTTTCCCTGAGAAAAAACATCTTTATACTAATATTAATATAGTTAAAAAGAAAGCTACTTCATAAAACTTAAAAAATGTGTTTTTAAAAGTCTAAAATATTGTTTTGAAGACAAGTAGTAAGTACAATAAAAATCTCATGAGAAAATTTAAAAAACAAACAATGAAAAGCCCAACCATTTGACTCATATTGACAAAGGTCTTTGAAATTATTTTCAGAGATAATTTAAGTTATCATTTTGAAAGCATATAATGTAAGATCATAAGGCTAATAGGTACGTAGCTTATTGAGATCACCTTTCACCAATCAAAATAAAAACACCGAGTGAAATGTGGCCATTCATATTCACAAGTTATATAACTATCCAGCAGAGGTTTAAAATAATGCAACAGTATAAACCACATCCTTAGGCAAATCACTCTACAAGTTTATGACTATAACCAAAATATAATTTTATAACAATAATATAAGTTGTCTGTTTGTGAGAATGGAAGGTTGGAAATGCAAACTTGAATAATCAATAATAAATTTATATTTGTTCTTGAAACATGATATTTCATAATTACATTTATATATATATAAACTTAGATGTTGGGTTTCCAAATGATATGCTGCTGTATATTTAGGACTAACTTTAGTTTGTTATTTTGGCAACTGGCTCACAAGATGGTCTTCCTTTGTTTTGATTTTGTATTCTTGTCTTAGTTTTATAGTATTATGTAGTGCTAAATAAACATGGTCTTAAATTTGCTTGAAATTCAAAAATCAGATTGCATGATGCAGATATAATAGTAATACTATTATTACTAGATAGGCTGGTAAAGTTGTACTATTATTAACTTAAATAACTGAAAATTTCAATCACACTTAAATTAGAAGTTAAAATTAAAGCATATACTTACATTTGTAATAACATCATGAATAAATCTAAATGGAGGCTTCTTTAGCAGCTTGTCATGCAAAGGAGGCTTTTTAATCACTTTTCCAAGAGTATCCTGAGTTTTTTTTATAACTACCGGGTTAATTTCTTCAGTCATTTTACAACACTTGTTTCTCACTGACAGTGAAGGTTATACATATATTCCTACCCAACAATATCTGCAGTTCAGGTAAGTTAACTTAGTAAATTAGTTTCGTTTTTTATGAAATAACTTACTTATCTTATAATTAGTATTTACTTTCTTTAGGCTACCTGGATTAATATAATCGCTTATTTTTCTTTTAAAAATTAAATTCTTCTACATCCCCAAGTAGCTAATGCCTAAGATACCAGTATTCAACGACTGTTGTGAACAATAATTATACATCAGCTTATGTCTTAATTTATTACTAATATTAATAATAACAGTTACAATTACACAGGCCTAGAAGTACAGTGACATATTGACACAAAACCTCATTCAGGAATGTGAAAAATTAATATATTAGGCAACTAGGTGGCGATGGTAAATATTCTTATATTTCTTGAAAACAAATTTAAAATATATTTGAGTATTGATTAAGGTCAATACTTTAGGTATTCGGGTCACAGCCCAATCGTTCAAAATCCCTTCCGTGTTCACTTCGCCTAAACTAATAAAAATATATCAAAAACACATATATAGATTTCCAATGTGACACCTAAATTTTCTCTCAGCACTGAACCACGTATTTCTTTATATTTGGAGATTATCCAACAATTCGCCCTATATCCAGTATAAGTAACTTGAATTAACTCCGAAACACTGTGAAGTATTATTATTATTGCACTTATATTTAGTTTAATACATTGCAATGTTTAGGACAGCGTGAACATTTTCAATTTAACCGTGTCATTATTTTTAGTTTCAGTGTTTCAAATAGTTTGTTTTAGAGCGAAGCCACATTGGACTGTCTGCTGTGTCCACCGCGAGAATTCAAGCCCAGGATTTTAGCGTTTTAAGACCACAGATTTACCGCTGTCCCATCTGAGGACGTTTAAGATGTAATGATCATATTAAAAGCTTTAATCGAATAATAAACGCAATTTCTTTACAATACAAATATATTGTTGTAAGCTATATTTCAATATTTTAATTCAGATGTTAGCGGGCGCATGGCGTTAAGATAAACTAAGCTCATAACAGTAGTCCCAGGATATCTAGAACGTTCTCTATGACGTCAAGAATCTGGTAACTTAGACTAATATTTAGACAATAGTTTGTTTGTTTGTAATTAAGCACAAAGCTACACAATGGGCTATCTGTGCTCTGCCCACCAC